AGGTTGAAATCCACTCTTTAAGAGTTCCCCAATCGCCCAAATGTGGAAAGAATGGGAGAAAAATGCCTAGCTCCCATATTAAATAAATTCACTGCCCCAGCGATTTTTGCACCTACGGTGTGTTGGCCGCAACTGCGGTCCCGCTTCTACGGATTAGTGTCTGCTTCTGTGGAATTGGCTGGGCTGGCTAGGGTCGCTTCTGCGGACGGGCTTCCGCTCCTAAGGTCCCGCTTCTGCGGAAAGGGCGTCGCATCTGCGGAACCTGGGTCGTCTTCCTTAGGCCGCATCTACGATGTCTGGCCTGCACCTACGAGCTCGCGCCTGCGGTTGACCAACCGCAGTTACGGTTATGACAACAGCTGGGGCTCCAACTCTTGCTCCAAACTTTTAACTTGGTCCGGGCCTCGTCTGATTGACGCTCGGGGCCCCAATGGGCTCCGCCCAAATGACCAACAAGTTTGAAATTATAAAACAAACTCGCTCGAACCCTCGGAAAGCCCGGAACAATATTAAAACTAAAAATCACACCTTAAAACCAATTGAATCAAACTTAAGAACTTCAAGTTCTTCAATTTACTTCCAATGCGCTGAAACATACTTATACTACTCGGAATGACATTAAATTTTGCGTGCAAGTCTTAAATGACATTACAAACTATTCCGGGTCTCGAAATTCCGTTTGGACCTAGATATCAACAAACCCTCTCCAAACCAACACCAATTGAAAATGGTATTAAATCCACAACTCAAATCTCATGTAACCTCACACTTAAGAGAGAATCCCACACTCCTAAATTGCAATTCAAAACATAAATGGCATATCAAATGGATAAATTAACTCTCTCTCACAAAAATGTTCAAATGCACGCAAGGCACCATAGGCTTGCCCTTCATGTATTTCTCCACTAATGTAGACAAACTTGGTTCAAAATCAATTAGGCTTTAAAGGGTTGTAGTTTAGGCTATTGGTTAAGGTAGGGCACAATTTTTGTTAGAGTGACTCAAAACTTTCCTAAGCAATACAATTTTTCAACAAGCAAAGTACTCTTCCTTCAAGAACTTTTCCACCATTTCTTCATTTTTTATTTCATCACCTAGAACTTTCAAAACCTTCAAGATCCAACCTTCACTATCATACGCCAAAACACTCCCAGATCATCAAAACCCTGATCCAAACATACGCCAAGTCCAAAATCATCATTCGAACATATTGGAACCGTCAAATCCTGATTCCGAGGTCATTTACTCAAAATGTTGACCGAAGTCAAACTTGGCCTTTTAAGCCAACCTTAAGGAACCAAGTGTTCTGATTTTAACCCAAACTCTTCCAAAAATCGAATCAACCATCTCTGCAATTCATAAATCAGTAAAAACAAGTACGAGAAGTCTTATTTAGGGGAACGAGGTTCTAGAAAGCAAAATGACCGGTCGGGTCGTTACACTGGATTATGGAGCTCCTGCGTATAAACTTCCAGCATATTATGTTGGAACTCCAGCACATTATGTTGGAATCTCATATGTAAAGAATTTGAACTCTAGCATATTATGCTGGAATCTTTTCGGATTTTTAAGGGTATTTTTGTTCATATTTTATCTTTACATAAAAAATTGACTAAATTTCGATTATTTTTGAAACCACTTGACTATTTTTCATCTGGCTATTTCTGATTCCCCCACCTTTTGTTTCATGAAATGTTTATAAAGTATTAGTAATATATATCTTTATTAGAATGCACTAAAAATGAAAGAATTGATAATACCGAAGGTATTTTTCTTATCACATTCTAGACCAGTATATGTAAATAAGTCTTACGATTTTGTTTCTGCGTCTGTATTAGATTTGAATTAATGAAAAAATTCTCGAACAGTTCAAAAAAGATAAAGGTATACATCTGATTTAAAATATACATATATAAGGAAAGAAAATAAAAATGTGTTCAATATGCATGCTATTTTTAGTGCATATGCAAAAGCAAAAGTTGGTCAATTTTCGTGCAATACTGGTTTGACTCTAGATGGTCGCAACGTGTGCACAATACTTTACTTACTAGCAGGAGTAGTTCTTATTTTAGAAGAAAATAACATATATAGTAACATAGGTATGGCTAGCCTATTTGTGGTGGCACTTTGTAGGGTTTTAAATTCAAAGAACAGATTAAAATTAATATTTTTAATTTATAGTCCCACTTCCTTAATTCACAAAAATGTGTTGTTATCTTGTATGCTTTTGAACAATTTTCATCTCAAAAAGTTCAGGCATATGCATAATTTTTCGTCGGCAATGCCTACATTTGAAGAAATGAACAAATTTTATACCTAATATTTTTATTATGTTTATACCAATATTTTATTTTTCTTATTATCTTTACATGCATATTAGTAAACATAATTTGACGACGCGGTGTCACATCACACGTGAAACTACTTGAGGAAGGGCACATACTCCCCTGCATGACCTAGCCATTGAAATTAAGTTAACCTTGTAAAGTTTATTATCTTAACAAGATATCAAAACTAGACAGTCACATATTATATTATTCATGATCCATATGCTATTGGGCGGGGGGAGGGGGGTGTTAGAGTTCAGCACTGATTGATGGAATATGATGTTGTGTCTTTGTATAGAATTTTGGCACTGATTGATGGAATATGATGTTGTGTCTTTGTATAGAATTTTGGATAATTCTCGCCTCATAAACTACTTTTTAGGTTAAGTTAGGCTCGAACTCCTTTTACTTTCGCACATTGAGCAGGAGCTTTGTGAGACACCACCATAAAGTATATTCCCAGTGGTAGATGTAACATTATAGTTACGGATTCAATTGAACCCATAACTTTCGAAATAGAGCGTAAATTTATATGTAAAAATTTATTAAAATTGTAAGAAGTAGTGAATATTAACCCATAATTTAAAAAATATGATGATTCAATGTTAAAAACCTTAAACTTTAAACCAGTAAAATTATATTTAAATTTAGGATCCGCTTCTAATTCCCAACTCTCTTTTTGTATTTGGGGTAGGTAAAAGGCATGTTTAAATTTCCACTTTGTGCATGTTTTGTGAAGTCCACAAAAAGAAATATACGTTTCCTTACTTTTTGAGAAGGCATGCAATATTTGGGTTGGTGAGAGTAGGAGGAGGACATTCCTCAAAAAAGGGAGAAAAGAGGAGAGGCCGAAAGCACAAAAATGTGGAAGGACCAAAAGAAACCATGCTAACTTTGATATTCCTTACAAAACCAATACTTATATCTTGTGAGTTCACAAAACTCATGTGTTAGTTTTGTTAGTTGTTAAATCATTTTCATACACAAAAAAAGCAGTGCATAAAGCATCTCGCATTTACAGAGGGCTCGAGGAAGGACCGCACCCTAGGGATTCGACATAGACAACGTATCCAAATATAAATATTAGTGACTGCTTTCATAGTTCAAACCCGTGAGCTATAGGTCATATAGAAACAACTTTATCGTTGCTCCAAGTAGCGATCATGAGTTCGGAGTCATCCTTGTATCCACTAAGAGCTTTAAGGATATTGAAGATGCATGGATCGAAGATTTGAAGACCCAATGCTTGCTAAAATGAAGATTCAATATTGCAAATTTAGCGTTACAGATAGGGGTGGAAAAATGGTTAAAAAAAATCAATTAACTATCCATATTATCCACTAAAAAATGGGTTGAATAATAAACTATTTAAAGACGGGTCAAATATGGATAAGAACCATATTACCCATTTAGAAAATGGATAACCAATGGATAACTAATGCATTTTAACTTTTACACTTGTAAAACCTCAAATTGGGGGTTCCTCAAGCTAGGGAGAATAGGAATTCTCGCAAAAGAAGTCATGGATAATATGATTATCAATATTATTCGCCGGTTAACCCATTTTTTATCTGTATTAATATGGGTTCGGTCAGATAATTTATCCATTTTTTCATTACCCGTTTTCGACCCATTCCATATCCCATCCGACCCGCCAGTTTGTCATCCCTAGTTACAAATCTAGAAGGTCGCGACCGCGAGCCAACGGACCGCGACCATGACATGTGCGAAGGAGGCTACATTATGCAAAATTGATCAAAGGCTAATTGGCCACATTTGTAATTAATTATTGTGGTCATATTTTTAATTAGTCATAGCTACTACAAAATAAGACGTATAACTTTTATATAGATTTTTTTAATAAAATAATTACTTAGTTGAGATGGAATATACGCGCAACACGCGCATTCTAAGGAGGGCTTCAAAACAAGGCATCATCATCCCCCATTTTATTTCCAAAAACACCCCACCCTACACCCACAATTGGGGCAGAAATAGACAAGCATACAGCTTGTTCATGATAGGATTGGTTCAATTTCAGTTCACATACACACACATATAAAATTAAATTATAATAAAATGGAAAAGAAAGAATGATCGAATAAATTATTGTATATGAATTCCCTACATTAATAGTTTGATTATAACCGACTATGCCTTTGACTTCTTGCCTCTATTAGGAAATTAGAAAGAATGACATATCTCCTAATTTCCATTTAAAACACATATATCTTTTAACAGAAAGCTCATCAAAATATGGTATTATTTGTTTTTGTTTCATTTAACATGTCACTATTTATTTAAAAATTATTAATATATGTAGAAATAATTTCACTTTAAATTTTTTATTTTACTCTTAATAATAAAGTTGTCTCTATATGGTGTACAGGTCATCTGTTCGAGCCGTGGAAGCAACCACTAATATTTACGTTATGATAAGTTGTCTGCATCATATCCCGTAGGATGCTGCCCTTTCCTGAATCCTGCATGAATACGAGATGCTTTGTGCACCAAACTGTCTTTTTAGCCTATCTAAGATTATAAGTTCCAAAAAATTCTTTTATTTTTCTTAAACTATGTTTCAGTTAAATAACGCCAGTACATAAATTGAAACACGTGTATATAAAGAAGCCAAATGAACAATCCCATCAAACTCTTAAATCAACCTTTAATTTCTTCCCTATCACTCACTCAATATATTTTGTCACTTTCTCATCCCAACAACCCTCTCCAAAATTCCTTCTTATGTCTTAATCTTCCTCATTTTCTTGATTTATCTTATCCTCTTCTAGTTTCTTTTAGTGTTTACAAATGGTGCCAACAAGTTCAGAAACTGTTCAAAACAGTAAAACTAAATCCTCCATTGAAGTTCCCAATACTCAACAGAAAGTTGAAATTTCAATATCTGAAAAGAAAATTTCTGCTCCTTCTTCCCCAGCTAATGGTGCAATAGCACAAACTGAAACTCTATCAGCTTCTGCTGCTACTGATAAATCTTTACAGAATTCTCAGAATGTTGATGATCAGGTAATTTGTTTATTATCTGTGTACTTAACATGTTTTAGCCGGTGGCGGAGTCACAATCAATCAAGGGGTATCAATGCGCTGGAAAATTACATCGTATTGTTAGATAAAAGATTTTGTTTTACATATATTTATTATATGTTGAATCTCGTTGATTTTTTAGCGTGTTTAGATTTTTGTATTTTGACACCTTGGTAAAAATTCTGGTCCCGTCACTTGGCGTGACTGATAATGTTGTTGCCATGTAATTAGAAGGTTCAACCCGTGGAAACAACCTTTTGCAAGGTAAGACTATGTATAATAGACCTTGTAGTTCCGGCCTTTTCCGGAACCCTGCGCATAGCGGGAACTCATTGCACTGGTTGGCCTTACATCTTGTCGGTATATAAAATGTTAAAATCGTAGAGTAAATGGCTAAATTTCATATTTTTCCTTTTTTTTTTGTTCCTTGTTTACTTTTATTCATGTGCTTTGTTCATTAGCATGTCTTCCCAAGAACTAAAAGAGTGATGCTTTTTACAACAGTTTCCGTGAACTCTAGCTGTTAATGGCAGCCTTAATTTGTTTTTTATTAATTAAGAGATATGATTGTATACGATAAGCACCAGGATAAGAATACAAGTTATGACCTAAATTAAGTTAATTGTTAGGAATTTAAAACCTTTCAAATATGTTCCGTGATTCTCTTATTTTGTCGTAGGGAATTCCTTTTCTCCTTTTTATATAATCAAAATAAAATTAGGTACAAGTTAATCTTGTTTGAATTGCATTTGCCTTTTACATTTCCAGGAAATGCTTCGTACGCACATTTTGGTTATAATGTAGGTGCAATTTTTTTTTTAAGAAAACCCAAGACGTGTTAATATAATAAAACAGTGACAATTGTACAATAAGTTTCGCTTATTTTCCTCACAAAAATTCTTCTTATTTAATTGTACGAGTCTAACTTCTATATTGACAATAAAATAAATATTTTTTACATTATTAAGTTACTTAATGAATAATTATAGATAAATGTTCATAATAAATAGAAGTTAGTAATATTGAAAGTAAAATATATAACCTACTACAATATGTTGAAATATATTTAGAGTATTAAAATTCTTTCCGATATATTTTTCTTCTTGTTTGTGTCGTGTCTTGTTGAAGGGAAGCCTTGGTGTAACCGATAAAGTTGCTACAATGTGGCCAGAAGGTCATGAGTTCGAGCCGTGAAACTGCCTCTTACAAGAATGCGGGGTAAAACTACGTACAATAGACCTTGTGGTTAGGTCCTTTCCGGATCCTGCACATAGCGGGAGCATTAGTGCACCGGGCTGCTTTTTTGTGTTGTGTGTTGTTATGGTTCGACTCTTTCCCGGATGTCGCACATAACAGGAGTCAAGTGTACCTTACTGCTTTTTGTATTGTGTGTTGTTGGGGTTATGGTGGGGTTTACATGTTAGTTGGAGAAGAAAAGAGTTGTATTTTCAGCACGCCTCAATGAGTACAAATTCTAAAGGCTAATTACTTTTGACGAAATAAAGAAAAAAACACACACACAGAGACATAAAAGATTATAACAAATAATTGAACATATATTGCCGCATGCATGCTAGACATAGTTTACCTTTTAAAACAATAATGACCACCAATATATAAGTAGCATATAGTAATGAGTGTTATCGAAAACTATAGTGTTTTATCTAGCTTATGAGTGAGTGCAATATTCAATGTAATTTCTTAAAAGTTAGAGTGGGGATATTAGTAATTTTCACAAGTATAACAATCAAAAGTGCATATTTTCAATTATAATTGTAAGAAATGTGCTTAACCAGATATCATAGGATCAAAATGAGAGTTTCTCCATGCATCAGGACTAAAAGTGAGTTTTTCCAAAATTTTTAGAATCATTTTATGTCTATTTTTGGGAAAAAAAAGTGAGAAATAACCTAATTTACAACTGATAATTGAAAAATAGCCATATTTTTAAAAATAATCAAAATTTAGCTACATTTTCATATAAAGATAAAATCTGAACAAAAACACCCAAAAATTCAAAAATTTCAGCATAATATGCTGGAGTTCAAATTTTTTTACATATGAGATTCCAGTAGCTTATACGCAGGAGCTCCATAATCCACCATATTATGCTGGAACTTTCAATGTCTTAGTTGTGGTATTTTTGTCCACATTTTATTTCCGCATAAAATAATGACTTTGCAAATGTTAGTTATTTTTCGATTACCAATCTGAAAACTGACTAGCCCATGCTATTTTTACTAATTTTTCTCTACCTAGATCTTCCGGTATTGGGCTTTTTTTTTTTACTTTTAGTCCGCGCCCGAAACTATTTACATTTGGTAGCTAAAAAAATGTATAAAATTTGTATATAACATACACAATATATATATACAAAAAGTATATATTTATTTGGCTATTATTTTGGGAACGGCTATGCACTATTATTTTTTCAATGTATTTTCTTTTAAAAATATACTCCTCTTAAAAGTGCAAAAAGTGAACAAGAAAAAACAAAAGAGAATTTGATAGTGGGTGACAGTGTATGTATGTAAGCAGAAAAACAGACTGTTGTTGGAGAACAAAATGCCTCTTGATTATTTTCATCTCTATCTCTGCTCTCAACTTTCTGCAAATTCTCAATCTCTTTAAAACCTTCATCCCCAGCAGTAGAACAGATTCAAGAATTAAAATTCATGGATTCATAGTAGGTATATTTTAAAATTATATTCACATGTATATGCCGGTATCATTAGTGTTAGTCTAGTATTTTCATTTCTTTGTATCAGCATGTTTCTTTTTCTATATGTCGTTTCTTTTGCTTCAATTATTATATCACCTTTGCTTGCTATGGTTACTACTTGTTATTTCGGCTTCCTTTTTAGTTTTTGTCCCTCTTGAGCCGGAAACAGGCTCTCTACCTTCCCTCCTCAGACCCCAATTTATGGGATTTCACTGGGTTTATTGTTGTTGTTGTGTTTTTTAAAATTATTTTCACATGTATATATAATTTGAGTCGAAAATAATCCTTTGCATGTGTGAAATGATATAATTGAGACACAATGTGGTAAAGCTTTTTTAGGTAGCTTCAAGTAACATTTATTTTCAAAAACTTGTGACATGATCTCTGAATTGAGACAATATATGGTAAAGGGTGTTCCTTTAGTTGATTAGCTAAATGATTCTTTTAGTGTGCTGATTAGCACAGTATTGTTCCTCTGTTGTTATATGAAACTATTACTATTCAGAGAGTCACAGTACAAAAAAAAACAGCCTAGTGCACTAAACTCCCGCTATGCGCGGAGTTCGAAGAAAGATCGGACCAGAAGGATCTATTGTACGCATCACTACCCTGCATTTCTGCAAGAGGCTGTTTCCACGGCTCGAACCCGTGACCTCCTGGTCACATGGCAGCAACTTTATTAGTTACGCCAAGGCTCCCTCTCAGAGAGTCGGAGTATTTTCTAAAAAATTTGAGATACTTTAGAAGTATTTGTAACTAAAAAATGTGATTTGCATATTTTTTTATGTAGCTTCAGCTTTCAAGTAAATTTATTTCCAAAAGTTGTGACATGATCTCTAAATTAAGACAAAATTAGTAGATGTTTTGATTCTCTTACTTTGTCCCCATCATGTTTTTTGTCTTTGGACAGAGAAGTAAATGTTTATTTATCTGCAATGAGTTGATATGTGTTTCTTATACTGTTAAGATTTGATGATAAATGCAGAAAGTAAGGGGAGAAGCCACAATTCCAATGGGGAATTACAATGATGCTGAGTACATAGGGATTAATGAAGTTGTATCTCCAAGGGCAAATGATCCTAGGAAACTTTCACTCTTGCCTCTAGTTTTCCTCATATTCTATGAAGTAGCAGGTGGTCCATTTGGTGTTGAGGACACTGTACAAGCAGCCGGTCCACTTCTTGCACTCGTCGGGTTCTTGGTTTTCCCGATCATATGGAGTGTCCCTGAGGCACTGATCACAGCTGAATTAGGCACCATGTTCCCCGAAAATAGTGGCTATGTTGTTTGGGTTTCATCTGCTTTGGGTCCATTTTGGGGCTTTCAACAAGGTTGGGTGAAATGGTTAAGTGGAGTCATTGATAATGCCCTTTACCCAGTTTTGTTTCTTGATTATCTGAAATCAGGAATTCCTGCATTAGGTGGTGGACTTCCTCGAGTTATCGCGGTATTAGGTATCACGTTGGTTCTAACTTATATGAACTATAGGGGTTTAACTATTGTTGGATGGGTTGCTGTTATGCTCGGGATATTGTCGATCCTTCCTTTTGTCGTAATGGGGTTCATTTCGATTCCAAAACTAAGGCCTGCGAGGTGGTTGGTGGCGGATGTGCATAATGTCGATTGGAACTTGTATTTAAACACTCTCTTTTGGAATCTGAATTATTGGGATTCGATTAGTACTCTCGTAGGAGAAGTGCATAACCCGAAGAAAACTCTGCCTAAGGCTCTTTTTTATGCTGTGATTCTAGTCGTTTTATCGTACTTTTTCCCTCTATTAGTTGGTACTGGAGCTGTTCCACTCGAGCGTGACTTGTGGACGGATGGTTATTTCTCGGATATTGCGAAAATCTTGGGTGGAGTCTGGCTAAGATGGTGGATTCAAGGGGCTGCTGCATTGTCAAATATGGGGACGTTTGTGGCCGAGATGAGCAGCGACTCGTTTCAGCTACTTGGTATGGCCGAGAGAGGGATGCTACCGGAGTTCTTTGCAAAGAGATCACGTTATGGAACACCTTTAGTCGGTATCCTCTTCTCAGCTTCTGGTGTGATTTTACTTTCATGGATGAGCTTTCAAGAGATTGTAGCTGCAGAAAATTTCTTATATTGCTTTGGAATGATCTTGGAATTCATAGCATTCGTACGATTAAGAATAAAGTTCCCAAATGCATCGCGCCCATTCAAGATACCTGGTGGAACAGTTGGAGCCATCCTACTGTGTATTCCTCCGACCATACTCATTGGTGTCGTTTTGGCATTTTCTTCAGTTAAAGTCATGATTATAAGCCTCGCTGCTGTTGCAATCGGGTTGGTGATGCAACCCTGTCTTAAGCGTATTGAGAAGAATAGATGGTTGAAATTCTCCATTAGTTCTGATCTTCCTGACATTCATCACGATACTGGAGCATTACTTCATTGATTCTCATATATTGTAGCTTTATAACGTACAACTCCTCTACTAACAGGACATAGCAGCAGCTGCATGGAATCCAGAACATCTATGGAGCACGCGCATAGATAAAAGAGACATTTCACAAGGTAGCTTTTTAATCTTGTAAGCTTGTGTTTGCCCTGATCCTAGACCTATTTTTCCAGGTGTTTGCATTAGAAACAGATGATGATATGGTTTCTCTTTTATATATGAAAAGTTGCAAAAAATGTTAACTTTATTTCTGCTCTCTTTTACTCTACTCGCTTTATCCAAAATGCATTTAAACGATATCCATTCTCTTCGTATTCGAGAGTAACCTGTAAATGATTGTATCTACTGAATATTGGTATGCTTTTCTGAATATATATTGAGCTTTCAACTCGTCTTCGTTGTCTGCTTAGTTAGAAAATTTTGTGCAGAAGTTGTTCACAACATGTTATGGTACTGATGTTGAAAAATAGGTCCACAAGTCATATTTCTTTGCATCATAAAGATCAACCCAACAATCTTGAATGAAATGAACTTTGCTAATTCTGAGATGAGACTTAACAGCTTTCTCTGCCAGCATTATGATCCTTGTTTGTAAATATCATTGCTCGGGTGTGGCCCAACGGGCAATGAAATGGGTGAAACTATGAGAGACCGGAGTTCAAATCGTAAAGAGACAGAAAAATTAAGCGACTTCTTTACCATATGCCTAAGCCTTGGCGGTTAATGTCAGTACATGTGCTAGTACTGCTGGAATAGTTGAGGTGTACACAAACCGGCCTAGACTCCATCATCATATAAACTTGAACTCGAATAGTTGAGTTCAAGTTGTCATTTTAAGGATCTTTCACTTGAATATATATATATTAAGAATGCAATCACAAGTCTAAAGAGTATCTATCTTGTGATATGCGCAATGAAAGACTCCAATTCCATGCGAGCAGCACCTCCTTTCTGTGTAGATTGTCTTACAGCTTCTCCCAGTTCCTTTGCTTTGTTCCTAATCACATCACCTTCTTCTGATGTCATTAACTTCCTCACAACATTCTCAATAGCGGACGCAGTGATAAGCTCGTCGCGTTTCTCCCACTCCCTAACAGCCAGGCCTATTTTCAATATTTCTGTCACCAAGAAACCATTTTTTGGTTGGTCATAGTGCATAGGCCAAGTAGCTATTGGGACTATCAAAGTTATGCTCTCTATGCACGAATTCCAACCACAATGACTCAAAAACCTGCCCGTGGAGGGATGAGCCAAGATTTCGGGTTGTGGTGCCCATTCTCGAACTACTAAGCCCACCCCTTTTGCTCTTTCCTCAAACCCTTCTGGCAACTTAAGTTTTTTAGATTTTCCAGAATTATCAACTTCATCTGCGTCTCTCAACACCCATATAAAGTTCTGTTTGCTTAGCTCTAATCCCATGGCGAGCTCCTTGATTTGTTCACCAGAAAATGAAGTAGTTGTCCCAAACGACACATAAAGAACTGATTTTGGAGGTTGTTTGTTTAGCCAATCCAAACAGTACTCATTTTGGAGGTCCGACTGCCCATTGTTTCTTGTTTTGTGTACTTGCAAGTTGTGCCATCAAGTCAATAAAAGTACTACTACCTTCAACTACTTGGCTTGTATTATAAATATCGCCCGTGCTAAGACTTATATACTGAGTCTGAAAAGCTCCTAGGTGCACGAATATGTCATCGGGGTAACATCCTTTGAGAGAGGGTAGCTTTTTAAGTTGTTCTTCTTCAAGCGGGATGGGCATCCCCGCTACTCTACATTTGTGACTACAGTACATATCGAAACTAGAAGTGCAGAGGAAGATATAGGATTCAATATTGGGAAAGGAAGAAAAATCTTGAACTTTATAGGACATTAAGAAATCATGAACAACGCCTACTCTTCTTGCTTTAGATGAAATATCTTGAAAGAAGGAAGCAATGGGCTCGTGCAAAAGCATAGAAGCATTCCAGAGTGGGCTCGTGATTTTGGGGGCAAGTGCACAAATAGTCATTCTCATGGATGCTATTTAGAGATTAGCCCATACCTATTTTGTCCTGAAATTTTAAACTAAAAATCTCAACTTCAAGATAAAATGTCCTGAAATTTTGAACTGAAAAACTGAAATTCAGGACGCACTGACTAATTCCTAAATAGCAGCCATTTAGAGTGGCTACATGGTGTCATTTCTACGGGATTTTGCTCAAGCAAGCATTGGGAACTACGAGGGTGGAGATGGAGGAGTAATTGAGAAGTCATGGAATTGGATTTTGGATATGTCTGAAGGATATAAGGCGTCGGCTCGAACCCTGGCCTGACGGTTGTTGGTGGCTAAACCGCCATAGTATAGGCGGAGACGATGAAAGGATAATAGACAAGCAAGTTGAAGATATTAATTGAGATGACCTTGACCTGGAAATGGTACCATGACTACAACTACTTCATCATCCATTGTTTAGTCCCTGGTTTTCAAGATTGTCACTCATGTTATTCATGGATTTTGAGGATTCACTTTTTCTTTAAGGTAATAATTATTGAAACAAAAGTAATTAAAAAGAGAACAATTTGGAAACTTATATTGGAGTAATTGATACATTTAATACCCTTACCAACAACACCACCCAAAACACCTAAAACAAAACACATTTAATCCACCACCTCTTGCAGCACAAGACATCCACAAAACAATACACATTTTCTTTTATTTCTCCTTGGTGTCCGATGCATGTATTAGATTTAGGGCCCGACTAAATTTGCATTCACGCGGGAAAGTTTTGTATTGGAGGATAAAGTAATCCTTAACAGAGGCGACTGTATACGAGACTTGATCAACTCGAAACCTCTGATTCAGAATAAAGGAGTATTCATCACTCTATCGGAACTCTTATGAATAAAACAATACACATAAGTAATACATCTCACCCAACGACTAGATTAAGTGGGTAAAAAAATGGGTCTTGGTCCCACAATTATATTATAAAAACGCATTTACCAATATATACAGTGATTTTCCGATGGTTTTATCTAAGTTTCCCGTTTGAATTTTAAAGAAACAAAAGAATATTTAAGTGATCTTTTATTATTACCAAAATGTTTTCGTTTCCCAATTTTCCTTATTCCTTTCAACTGCATATAATGGTGATTAATAATAGTAATTTAGTTGGATAAATCACACTATCAAGTTCATCTACCAAAACGGGAAAAATATGTACAAATATTTTCCAATAAAGGGAGGCCCTATTCCTTTTAAATTTTTTTGCTTCAATTCTGTTCTTAATATATTTGTAATACTTGACGTGAAACACATGTGCAATGGACGTGTCTAATGATCGACTTTGGCCTTCAACATTCATAACGCCTATGTAGGTGCAACTAGCATTTTCAGGAACACTTTTGCCTCACTTTCAACCTTTCACTGAAGTGGCTTGGGTGTTTTTTTTGGTCTTCTTTTCTGTAGAACAGTATAATATTTTGTGAAACTGGAACTGATTTGGAAGAGAGTTTGAGTTTTGAGTAGTTCAATATAGTTTGGGAGTAATATTTGTAGTTTAAGAAGCAGAAAATAAGCTTTAACGGAGAAATTTGGTTTCTCCTACGTGCCTATGTACACGAGAAGTTCACTAGTACTTGTCAAAAATAATCAATGATAATGTTTGTAGTTGCAATTAACACGAATGCTTATGCATGCATTTTCTTTTTGTTCCCATGTAAAGGTGATGAACAACAGATATGGTTTTATAGCTCAAACTACTTCTTTAGATTTTTTTAAAAGGAATACTTCTCTTCTAACTTTTCCACTTTCTACACTATCCATCAAAAGTATTACATTCCTTTTCTTTTGAGTGGATGAATCGGGAATGTATTAAATAAAATAAAAAGTAAATCCTGATGTTAGTGCTGGAAAAAGTTAAATGTGTATAAGCATTTATGATAATTGACGTGTGATAAACGTGCAATGTACGTGTTATCTTTTTAAAAAATGTTTATGTTATTTTTTGAATTGTCTTTCCTTTGTGAGGTCCAATAGATTTTTGTTTATCAATTTCTATATATTAATCTTTGCAGTATAAAATTCAACTGCTATAATGGTGATTAATGTTAGTAATTTAGTGAGAGAAATCACATTATCAATTTCATGTAGCAAAATGAAAAAAAATATGTATTCTCTCCGTTCAATTTATGTGACACTTTTCGTTTATTAAGAGTCAATTTGACTAATCTTAAAGCTAAATTGAATTAGCTTAAATTAATATTTTAAAATTAAAATTTATATATTCATAAAATATAAGTAAAGTACGATAAGTTGTAATTCTTTTTATGTCAATATGCTGAAAGAATATATCTTAAAATATTAGTCAAAGTTCACATAGTTTGAATATCAAAAATCAAAAAGTGTCACATAAATTAGATTAGAGAGAGTAATATTTTCCAAAAAAAGAGGTGCTATTTTCTTTTAAATTTTTGTATTTCAGTTAATATTCTTAGTACAAAAAATTTGTTAAAATCACGTGAGACACACGTGCAATCTTGTGACCATTCTTTATATACGATATAACTTTTTTCTTACCCTATTCCTAAGCTATTCATGTTTGCTCTTCAGCATTCATAACTCTGGTAGGTGTAACTAGTATTTTCATGGCCACTTTTATCTCGCTTTTAACCTTGCATTAAAGTTGCTTGGGTGATTTTCTTGGTCTTCTTTTCTGTAAAGCAGTGTGACATTTTGGGAGGCTGAGACTGATTTGGAAGAGAATTGTGTTTTTAGAGGTAGCATTATTTAGGAAGCAGAAATGAGCTTTAATGGATACTTATGCATGAGTTTTCTTGTTGTTTCCATGCAAAGGTGGCGAAGAATAGGCAAGATTTTACGGCTCATAATACTTATTTAGATTCTCTTCTTTTGCTAAGAATTTTGCTTTTTTAACCTTTTCACCTTCTACATTACCCTCCAATTTTTTACTTTTCTTTTCTTTTGAGTTGATGAATCTAGAATATATGAAATAAATGCAATATTTTCCACCCAAAAAAAGGAAATGCAACATTTCCTAAGAAAGGAATTTTTTTTCCTTTAAGATTTTTTCTTCAATTTTTATTCTTGATATAAAATTTGGTACAATTTATAACGTGAAATATACGTGCAACGTGTTGAATGACTAATCTTTATATAAGATAAATCTTCTTTCCTACCCTCTTACGAAGCTACTCCTTTAGCCTTCAGCATTCATAATGATGATAATGGCCATGAGGTATATAATTATATAAGAATTATTAGATTGATTGCATTATATATTTTCTAGTTCTGTTGATATATTTTATCTGAAATTATCAATTAAAAATACATTTTTAAAAAAAAGGGCAAGAATAGAAGATAATAATGCAATATACGTGAGAAAGTAATAGTTGAAAAGGAAAAAGAGCTTTAATGTAGGAGGTTGTGTAACGACCCGACCGGTTGTTTTGAGCTCTAGCGCGTCGTTCAGTAGTTTGAGGCCATGAGAAGCTTCACTTCAGGTATTATGACTTATGCGCTTGATTGGAATTGAATTCCGGGAAGTTCGGAGTTTATTTGGAAAGAGAATTCTCATTTCGGGAGCTTTAAGTTGAAAGAATGGACTAAGATTGAATTTTTGAGTAAACGACCTCAGATTCGGGATTTGAAGGTTCCAACAGATTCGTATAATGATTTCGGACTTGGGCGTATGTCCGGATCGGGTTTTGGAAGACCCAGGAGCGTTTCAGCGCCTATTGTGGAAGTTAGCATTTTGGAAGAATCTCATAAGTTTGGGTTGAAGTGCATTTCAGTGTTATCAATGCCCGTTTAGGATTTCGAGTCTGGGAATAGCTCCGTATGGTGATTCTGGTATTGGAAGTGCGATCGGAAGTGAATTCGGAGGTCCGTAAGTCATTTTGGAGTCATTTGGCTAAAGATGGAAATTTGATGGTTTTTGAGAAGTTTGACCGGAAGTGGACTTTTTGATATCAGGGTCGGATTCCGATTCCGGAAGTTGGAGTAGGTCCGTAATGTCAAATATGACTTGTGTGCAAAATTTGAGGTCAATCGGACGTGATTTGATAGGTTGAGGCATCGAATGTAGAAGTTTGAAATTCTAAAGTTCATTAAGCTTGGATTGGAGTGCGATTCATGGTTTTAGTGTTGTTTGATGTGATTTGAGGCTTCGAGAAAGTCCGTGTTATGTTTTTAGACTTGTGCGGGTGTTTGGTTTGGAGCCCGGGGGGCTCGGGTGTGATCCGGGATATCTTCGGAGTGATTTCCTAAGAAAAAGGATTTCTGGTACTGGTGTGATTGCAATTGCGATGCATTGGTCGCAAATGCGACCTCGCATTTGCGAGTTTCTGTTCGCATTTGCGAGCCTGGGCTTCTAGGGGAAAGTTCGCATTTGGGAACGAAGGATCGATTTTGCGAG